TCTACAACGTCTCTAGGCAGGATCTACAGCGGCAAGGGCCGACAAAGAGCCTAAAACTCGCACCAACTCTTTTATTGATCCCACTTGATTTCAAAAAAAGTTTTTTAGTGTTAACGTTTATAGTACTTCATTAGAAGGCTAGATCACTAAGTTTGTGATTTCCTTGGTATCAGCAGTGGAGTCTTGGTATTTTAATAGGTGGTGTAGGATGTGACGTGGTCGTAGGCACTCTGTGACAGGAGCTGATAACAACTGATAGGAGCTGATAAGGGCCACTATGAAGCAAGAGCCACTCACCGATCAAATCCTAGCGGCTTTGGTAATCACGATCAAACATTGACTCTTTAGTGAACTCATCCAATAAGACGGGGAAATGAGTGATACGGACCGATCGAAGGCATTTCTTCGCAACGATGCGAAATTTTGGTTCATTTCTTGCTATTAGACTATGACCGCTACACAGCAAGGTTTGAGACTCAATGTAGTTTCACGGTTTCTTTTTGCTTCAATATCATTTGTGACAATATTTATCCGACCATCGGTAATCTGGGATTCGCAATTAATGTTAAATCCGTAGAGAAGAAAAGTTCCTTCGATAACGGCGACATCTGATAATGGGCCTTATTATCACTCGACAACATTTGTGAGTACCATTCATGGCTTAGTTTGCTTAACAGCTGGATCCCTGATAGGAAATCATTTCTAAGGAGAAGAACAACAGACCGAGGGTGCTATTCATAGGCGTGAGCATCGGCGCATATTGAATACCTTTTGCACTGCCCTATTAGTCCTGTGTCAAAATTTGTGTTCAGAAAGGTATCATTTATTCTGATGAGGTGGCGGGTTAGTCGGTTATTACAGCTTTGTCATAAGAAGGAGGTAAGTCCGGCAGGGCAATCCCTGGTTTGGTATATGCCCCTCTGATGTATGAGATTTTGATGTTTTTTAGTGTAAGACAGGCTGGTTGAGCAAGTTGTCAAAAAATTATTGATGCGCAGGGTTAAGGACCTATCAAAATTAGTTTTAGAGTTTTTAAAGTCTGTCCATTCCCTGCTATGAGATTACGACGAGTACATACCAAGATTTGCGTATCAACTGGGACCATGCACTGCGGCGGACTCAGTAGTGGCATGGACACTCGGGATCCTGATGCATGCGCTCGTTTAGCTTCCTCGAAAATGTGTCCCAAACGCTTGCAAAATTCTTTTCTGCTTAACCAGTTGGGTGACGCATGCGTTAGTGTGCGGAACACTAACGCATGCGTCACCACAAAGAATGCATCAAACAACGATGATTTTTTTGATATGAGCTCCACCTCTTGAGAATCTGGCCACAGGTTGTGGTGGGTTAAGGGTACATGATGAAGCTTCGGAAACGTCCCAGATGATTTTCATTCATCTAATTTGTCGACCTATTCCCTACTTTTGCCCATTTTCAAAGGCCTGGGCGCTTAGAACAAAATCACGAAGTTTTCTCATCGTACCGCTATCCATGTGAATAATCCGCTCTCTTAAGAAGGGAGTTCCTCTGTGCTCATATGTGCTCTGTTGATCTTGCCCGAATTTCCAGTCATCCCAGGTGACAGAAGTACATTTTCTATATTTACAGCAATAATGATGATGATTCGATAGGTAATGAGTAATGATGATGGCTTCATGATTTTGGGACGTTAAGGATACCTTCGTACGGAGTTGTGAGCTTTTGATCCTAGCTCCGCTCGCCTCAGTCCACTCCAAGCTCCGTCCACTTTGGTATTTGACCTTATGACTACTATCCGTCTAACCTTTTTTCCGCACTCTTGAACATTTTTGAACAGAGTTATAATAACAACTGGAAAGAACTGATAAGCAGCCATAAAAAGCAAGATCCACTGAGTGCGGTGGGGGGGGATACTGGAGATGATTACTGACCTCATAAGAAGCTACAGAGGGCGAGATCCACTGCTCCCATGATGAGCCCCCTGTTAAGAGTGCAACCTTGGTTCTTTATCAAGTTTTGTGTGGTTTGATCGGATTGCAAGTTATTGCAAAATTATGATTACGCAGACATCACATCCTCGAAAACGAATAGAAAGCTAATAAAGCAAACCAGATTCAGAAAAGTGTTTGTCACTAATCTCTTTAAGAAATAGTACGTTGAAACTGGGATCTGTTGCTTTCTGCTTTCACCCAACCCCAGAGTCGATTATGGAGGGCATTGACGGTGGCACGCAGCTAAGATTATCGTGATGATCCCGGCTCTTTGCTGGGCATTTTCGAGATTATTTCACATCTTGTTTGGGCTAATGGATGCTTCCATCTCTAAGGCTGACCACACTGAGACGGGTGTGCGACGTTAGTCACGACTGACATTAATTCGCGCCGAGGTGCGAAGTGATCTCACCTTAATTGCGTGCCTCCCCTTGATCGTAACCAACCTCATCTTACTTATGAGAGTGGTGGCGAATGATAGGAATGATGAGAAAATGAATCTCCAAGAAAATAAGTTCTTCCACGTAAAATTTCCATGGTCTTTGGTTTAAAGTGTTCTATTACTTTATAGAATAGAAGAATTCGATAGTCATAAAACTGAAATTCGTGTGAGATGTAAAAAACATTTTTTCTGGTCATTCTTTTTTTTCAAGTTTTCACTCATCTCTAATATAAAACAACATTTAGAAAAGCAACTTAGTTGTTGAATATTGGGGCATCTCGTCTTTGAAAGGTCTTTAAACGCCCTTCGGCTGTTCAGTTAGGCTTTTCACACTTCTCACGGAACATTACAATACTTCAGACTAAATTCAGCACATTGAAAAAAGGTTAACAGCTACTATATTACCTGATGGACAAGTGATTTATATGCAACTATTGACTTGCTTAGAATTTTACTATGTATTCTGACGACACTTTCTACTACTTCCGGGATCTCACGGGGTACCCTTCAGCTTCAACGCAGCTCCAATCCGCTACTATGCAGCTTTTACTATGCTACTTGCGTACCGACGCAAATCCACCAATGCAGCTCGACCCCGCATCACAACCATTACACTACGCTACTTCCGTATAAAGCGTACGGAACAAATCGCATCCGAAGCGTCTGGCATAAAGATGTCCAAATTCGTAACGAACGAGACCATCTGAGTTGTTTGATTATTATTTTTAGATAATTCCTTTTAGAAAAATCAGGCTGCTTCACATTTTATTGGATTTTTTTGTTGGAATTCCTATCATCTTGCATGAATAAAAACTCTTCAAACTGAAGACTATGAGAATTCTACGTTGGGAAACTAAATTGCTTGGAGCTTCGTTTTCTCATCATTCCTATCATTCGCCATCACTTTCATAAGTAAGATAAGGTTAGTTACGATCAAGGGGAGGCGCGTAATTAAGATGAGGTCACTACGCACTTCGGCGCGAAGTAATGCCAGTCGTGACCAACGTCCCACACCTCACTGGGGTACCTCACTGAGACAACCATGTGCTCACTGATCGAAGGTTACGAAGTCAGGGAACCTCTTTTGCGAAATTTCTAGACAATTTCTGTTCTGCAGTGAGGAGACAATATGTTCGGTTTGAATCACCAAAGGTCATATTGCGCACGAAGAGATCGAACAGGGCTCCAATTCAACTTTCACTCCTTGATTTACAAAAATAATAGGTGTTTTTGCCTCGGCGGTAATGCTCGCAAAAGCCATCGCAAAAAGTCATTGAGCCTAGCGCTGTGTCACTTCCATTTCTTTCAGTTTCATACAAATCTTGTCGCACTGCTTATTGAGCACCTTTGTCACCGTGAATATCTTTTTATCGGTGAGCGGGAATTCCGTACGACAATTTTTTCGGATGCGGCGAGATAGCTTTTGTGACTCAACTTTTCTCCTCTCTTTAGCCTGCTCACTGAAGAAATCACCTTCTGATTCGGATAAAGGCCTTGTCGTGCAGATGATGCTTCACGATTTCGCGCAGAAAACTTCATGAGATATCCATTCAATTAGCCATTTTGTGCTCAGAAAGAACATCGCTGCTACGCAGGCCTTCGCCCTTCTCCCTTAACACTCTAGATTTACCCTTCTTATCTACAATTGTTCCCAACTCTCGAAAGCGTCTCATGGTTGAATGTACCACCTGCCTTGTTACCCTGAGTGGTCCGTAGATGCACCGTGCCAAAATTGCTTGTAAATTCAAAGCGACGATTGATTTACGGGTTAATGACGCTTTTATTATTTTTAAAATCTACCAAAAGTTTAGTATCATTAAGGTGATAGTATAGTCTACTTTGTGAAATGGAAGAAAGCGAACCGCGCGCGCTATAATCATATTTTTGGCCCACCCTATACGCTATTTCATCGGTTGATTTAAGTGAGCAACACGATTAGCTGACCCACGCTTCGACTGGGGCTTGCTAATGTTCTCGGTTTATAATAACTGTTATCAGAAGTCATTGTCAACACCCCTCCTTACCAGGAAAGAGTTCCAAGTCGATGTGCCGTTTGGAATGAGTCCACCCTGCCAGACGTATTCTCGGATGCTGATCTCAAATTGAACGAATAGTTTTGAGCTGGTTTTAGGTAAGGTAAGAGTTGTGCTCCATATTGAATTTTTCCTCATGGCTTATGAATTTCTTTGTTGCTGATTTTATCGCGTTGTAAGACTGTTTGATGTTTGTGACAACTGACAACATCCTTTCCGGAAAATTTTTTATCGCTTCAATTTTTTTGCATATTTGTACATGCTATACTCATAGCAGGATCACCCTCAGCACTTCATGAACGTATGTGATGCACGAAATGTTAGGAAACAAGAACCTTTCCAACCGCTGCAACGACTGATAAAAAAGATTTCGTTACATCGTGTTGCTCTACAATAACTTGCCGAATCACAAGGAGAACGAATTGTTAGGCGTCTCAAAATGACCCTGGTGAGTGCTCAGAAAGTTACTGAATGTAGCAGCACAAACTAAAAGTAGGCAGCTGATAGGTAGTAAGTTCACGAGTGTACAAGCATGGGTTGAGACCGTGAACTGACTTATGAGGTGACGATCATACGTGCGAGTGGCAGCAAGAAATGAGCAATGATTGGCGGTAACTTCGTGGTGCAAGCAAGGATGCTCATTGCCTTCACCTGCTTTTGTGGAGTAAAGCGGGCTATATAGCTTGATGATCGTTGAATGAATTTCACGAATCCACCATCAACAAGACTGGTCTTGGAGAGTTCGTAGCCACCAGGCACGATCGTGCTCAATCTAAACCATGAAGGACTGATCTAGGGGCCATCAATGAAAACTTAAGGCATAATGGTGGATGAGTGGGTGTTTGCAGAGAGCAAACGCACTACCGCACCTACTTTCTTCGAGTCTCTTTTTGCTAAAGAATGCAAAGACTGTGCTTATCGGTTCGAAATTTCAATGTGAGTCTGAATGATTGAAAGGATCAAGACTTGGTTGTAGGTCGATTCAGCCTTTGGGATGCGCCCCAGATTCGGATTTCATTAAGTGTGCCGTTTAAAATTCATATACGGCTGCAATGAATTGCTGTGACAAAGCAATGTACACATCAATGCTTTCGACCACCCGGACGACTCTTGTACCATTTACTGACCACAGAGGAATGAAGGCTGGTTGATCCGAACGATAATCGATAGGGAGTTTGATTTTTGGACCATCCGTGAGTGATAGTGCGCCACCTGCCACCTCACCACATTCACCCTCTGAATATAGCATGTACAAATATGCAAAGAAAATTGAAGCAATATTGCATGTTTTCGGTGAGAAAGTTGTCACAACAACCATAAAATAGTCGTAGAACGCGATAAAACCAACAGCGAAGGAATTCATAGGCTACAAGAGAAAAATTCAATATAATGCAAAATTCCCTCCATCTCATAACTTCTTACCTAAAACCATCTCATAACTCCATTCAGAGAATCGTTCGGCAATTTTGGAAGACAGATTTGAGATCAGTATCCGAAAACACGTCTAGTACTAGGTCTCATTACAAACGGGCACTTCGACTTGAGATCCTTTTCTGGTTAGCTTTATAGATATAATCATTAAATAAAAATTCCTAATCGTTGTATTCGGATGAGTTCAATCGCATCTGATGTCAGAATTGAGAGAACTGAGATCTTATAAGGAGCGTAAATCTTGAAGGGTAGTGGTCGGACAAGGAATAAACCGACCTTCGTCTGCCTTATGTGGCACATTCCTTCAGGGCCTTCGAACGTTCCGTAATTCCTTACAACTGCTCAGTTACGGTAATGTCGCTGCTCCAGTAGACTCAATTTAGGGAAGAGTTAGAACATCATGAATATTAAGATCAAAAGCACCCGATCGAGACTCACAATCATAGCAATATACGTCTCAATTGTTTAACGCTAGTGGCCAGTGGTTTGTGCCAAGTCTCACGGTTTTCTGGAAGCTAGCGTGCTCGATTTGAACCATTTCTCATCAGAGGTTTCACAGGTGATAGTGTCGTTGCAGACGCCAATAACTGGGTTATGTTAGCAGAACATCGTACGCATTTCAGTGGAAGGGGAAAACCAGGTCATCCTACTGGCATAATCAATAAAGTGGGGAGATGGTCGGTATTGTTCCATTCGTGAAACTTTCCAGAATTTCATGGGCAGTAAATTTTGTCGCAGCTGATGCTGGAATAAGGAAACAACGTGGTCCTCCCTTGAGTTTCAAATATTTGAAATATTGGGGTGGTATTATAATCGTAGGATCAAAAAATATTTTTTCTATGGACAGGCCTTTTTAACGCTCATCTCGCCTGGCTTACGCTCTTCTGCTTTTTGCACAAAATATTGTCGCAGCGTATTTTCTTCATACCTTCTAAGTTCCTTAGCGTTGGAGGTTTTGCACCCAACAATAGTCAGTATCCATGTGGCGAAGTTCACATCATATCTTCTCCACTACTTAAGACATTCGAAGGTTTTAAGCCCTTGCGCTTCCTCCACTCCTTAAGACTTCAGTCTTTACGGTCTGTGGGAGCAGAGCAACGAATATCTGCCCAATCATACAACAAATAGGTACTGATCAGTACCAGTCGGAGTCGTTTTTGTAGCGAAATTCTTTCCGTGTTATGAGGGCCCTCAGATTTTAGAACTTCACATACAAAGAGGGAAAGGTTACGACCCCTGTTACAGTCACACTTACACACAAAAACACATACATATATTCTCATAAACAATGGCATGCAACTCGTTTATAGTAGATTAGATTTCGACTCTAGTCTCTTTCCGAACGAACAAACTGACCCTTATCTCCCACCCTTATCCTCAACCGCTCTTCACTGAGCAGATCGCACCCCTGCCTTCTAGTTTTAACATTGTTAGGAAATGTTGGCATGTGCTCATTGGTTTGTGCTTGTCTACCCTTTTTCGTATTCTAAAACATCTACAGAATTACTAATTTTTGACTGAAACTTCACCCGCCTTTGCGCTTGCTGTGGGATATTTATTATTTCCCTTGCAAACCTCTGCACTCTTTTCCCATGCTCTGAAGCGTGCCTGAAAGAATTGCCACTTTTCACTTTTTGTGCCCAATCCGCCTATCATAGCAGGTTGTCACCTCCTCCTTTGCCTTTTCTTCTCCTCTTCTCGGATTCAACTTTTTTTCTGACCTCAGCTCCACCTTCTTTGGTGCCCACTCCACTTTCCTTGAGAATTTCACTTCCCCTCGCTACTCTCAGTTCAGTTTTTTTTTTCCGGTTCCTAAGCATTGCAGCGGGAATATAGGAAACACAGACAAATCAACAATGTAGTCCAGGGCAACGTCTACTAATTCAGCACCTAAACTATGTATTTTTTCTAGTTGCCATGAGACCAATTCTCATTTCCCCTTTGGCATCTTTCGATGTTGCTGTTCCCGTTTATTACGAAGTTTCATCAACGTGAATCGATCTTACGTGCTAATAGAGTACACCAAGATGTCAGGCAACTCTTAGCGAATTCCGCTATTGTTAGAAATTTTGCTGTTGATATAGAAAATGGAAGATAATCTCCAGTACACGTGCTTGCTTCACAATAGATGCACTCATCACAGATCTCTGGCAAAACTAGCTCGTCCATTTTCAGTATACTTTAGCAGTTGATCAGGGAGATGCAAAATTGAATTTTCATAGTATGGTTAACGATACCTTACCAAAAATCTGTTCTAAGGACCTCTTCAGAAGATAGAATAGTGTTGGGAAGGCATTCTAGTGTCTGCCTCACGATTCTCATTCTTGGTCCCCGGAGCTTCAGCATGTATGGTACGAGAGTTGCTTTTTATATTTCGAGATTTGGAAACACTAGTGTAGCAACCTAGCAACTGACACCCCATAGTAAAATTTGACTATTTTGAGGTTCCGTTGCGAAATTTGAGCGCAATTTGTGTTGTTTACACTAAGTTGTAAGATTTTGTTTCGGCCAAGTTATGAAGTTGAACCGTGAGCATTTTCGCGCGATTATTNAAGATCGTCATGCTACCTATCGTGAGATTGAGGCAACCTTAGGCATTAGTGGGACTAGCTTACATTCAATTTTGCTTAAACATTTGACTGTAAAAAAAACTGTTTTTGAAAAATTTGTTAATCCCCCAAAAAAGGGACTCTTATCGATTGTTAGAAAGAAATGCTCAAAAAATACGATCGCGATGCTTCGAAACACGTCTATGAAATCGAGACAGGTGATGGATCATGGATTTATGCGTATGAGCCCAAAAGGATACAGCAGTCGATCGTATGGGCATTTCAAGATGAGCCAAATTCAAAAAAGCTGTCCGCGCACCAAGCACTTCCGAGCAATTGATCTCCTGTTTTTTTGGAAAAACTGGACATGTCGCAACCGTACCACTAGGACAAGCAGAACAGTCAATTCTGAGCGGTATACAACCATTTGTTTGCCAGTTGTCTTCCACAAAATCAGGAAAACCAACTGCGGAAGACGGATAACTCTTCACCACGACAATGCGAGCTCCCACACATCGGCTCAAACAACTGTATTTTTGAGCACTCGAAACAACGATTTGACAGGTCATCAGCCATGTAGTCCTCGGGTGACTTCTCCTCATCCCGTACGTAAAAAATAAAATGAGAGGTCAACGTTTTTCGACACCTGAAGAAGCCGTTAATGCGTTCAGAATCCATGTTTAGAGTCACCTTAATCGGAGCTGCAAAAGTGCTTCGAAAATTGGTTCGAACCCATGCAAAAGTGTATAGATCTTAATGTGAAGAATTTTGAAAGGCAATAAAGCGATTTTCAATGATTAACATTTACTTTTGTTCTCTAATCCCGAAATATAAAAGGCAACCTACGTACTGGTGACTACGTATACTTCAATTGTTGACATTCTATGCCGTGATTAAGGAACCAATATAACAAAGTCAACGAGCATGATGTAGCTGCTGAGGGGACTCCGCCAGCGCTGAAAAATTTAAAATATTGGATAGCAAAAGAAATTCTTTAGTATTATTCCTGCCCGAAAGGGCCACGCCTTTCGCCGGATCTACCATGTGAATAAAAACTTTCACACGTTCGATGGTGTTTCAAAAGTACAGAATGTTTTGGGGAAGGATTTGCCGGAGTTTCCTTGATAGTCATGACTGAGGTGATGAAATAAAATTAATGGAATGTTTTGTACCTGAGATTGAACCACCCTCCGACACTTTCGGAAAAGTAGACGCCTCATAGTTCCTCCCATGGCGAAGAATCACACTGCCTTTTATTGTCAAAGCCTTCACTCTACACAGAGTTATTTGAGGATGGGTAAAGCTTCATGGCCCTCATCAGGTTAACGCGGGCATCACAACGAAGAACGTTTTGACAAAAATTATTGATTTTTGTACCGCCCGCCCACTCCGAAGTATGCTCTCCCCCCCTACCCTTTTGATTTTGCCGTGTGCCCCACTCATTCAAAATTGGCCTGCTTCTCCAGATGTTTCTTCTTTAACACCGAACTTCTTGACGGACCGACAGATAGGCGTGGAATCCTTGAACATAACAATGAAAATGTCATCAGGAAGTAGGCCCCACAAGCATCCCTTAGGTGTATTCCAAGTTACCGTGTTTCTCTGTTTTCTCACTTTCGCTGAGGTTGTACATATCCTATGGATCTAGAAACACATAAACGCAAAATAAAATTTTGTTGAAGGCTCACTCTTAGAACGAACAAGTCGGAAAAACTGCATATGGCAGATACTTGTTTNTTTCAAAACTAGAAAAAGCTGAAATGTCGAACGCATCCGGTAAATTATTTGGGTGTAGGTTAAGGCGGTAGTTTGCTAGAATTATTAAGGTATGCTAGAATTATGAAGGTAATCTTATCTGTGGAGTAGAGTGGAAGCAACTATAGAAGCAAAACCAGTTTTATATTGCATCGTCTCAATCCACCTTGAAGATGATACGTAGAATAACCTTCAGGTGCACTGTGTGAAGGGTTGAGTTCTTGCCAGTCCGAGGCTCCATACCATAACCTAACAACAAACTTTATCGTTATGATGGATATGGTTAACCTTTCGAACAAACAACCTCATGCAGAGCACTAATCCTGCCAATCAGAAATTTGGTGAAAACTAGTCTTTGCACTGTTTTATCTTATGACGAGATTGAAATATTCACAAAATTAATTCTTGGTGCTTAAATGTTGTTTTGGAAGAAAAATTGCTGGAAAGAACGTCAACGAAACCGCAAACCGTTTTCTTTGTAAGATATTGTTACAAGACCTGGAAATATACCTATTTCTTCCTATACGGAGAAATTCGGATTTATGGAAAATAAAACTAGCTGTTTTTTTCCAAAACGGCTGTTGTAGTATTGGAAGTGGGGTTGGAGAGCAGATACCAAATGACCCGAACGCTTGTGCTGAGCTCGTTGCGGCTAAAGCCATCCAGGTACACGAGTGCCGGTCCGCCTCTACTGTGCTCTCTAGCCGGGTCGAGCCTAGCCTTCCGTCAAGTGATTCCGGTGGCAGGCTTCACCTTCGCAATGAGTAGCGCTTGCTCACGGGTCTCTTTGAAGACCTCCCAGAATCGAACAATTAGGATAAAGTTGGCTAGCACTGAGCGTCAGAATGCTTGGTAACAGCGCTCAAAAAGATTGGTGAGATCGACTCTCTATGCAGACTTTATAATCTTGATGGGAGATGATAAAGTCTGTATGGGGTGGAGTGTAAAAGCGAATACGCGGAAACGGATAGACTCCAACTCCATTGTCTGAATAGTCAGATAAGGACCATCAGAGTCCGGATTGGCAATGGGGTTCTCGCATGGAGAGAACTGCCAAATGTGTGCAAGATGTTGCAGGTGCTGAGTTTGCTGAATTTCTCATCACGTCAATTCTTCGGAAACCAGTGTTTCATCGGAAGAATCTCAGCTTGTTTTATGAGGCACTGAGAATGTCGCCTGCTATCCTCATTTTACATCTCAATATGCTTGACGTCGTTTCCGTTTACACTTGCCATATGTTTAATGAATTTCACCACTTACTTGTTTTCCTTTCATTCAGATATCTTGTAGGTAGACTTATGAATTTCCAATTTCATTGAGTTCAGATTGGGTCTTTGTCCTGCTGAGTGGTTCGAACGGCTAGATTCTTTCTATCTGTTCTGAAGGGTGAGTTGTATTTGTATTCATTTCTTTCTAAGGACCTTGTTGTTCTACTGCTGCTAATTTCTCTCCATAATATCGGTGTTGTAAGGTAAGATGTCAAAGTTTCCTGCTCGTGGAATTCCGCTTCGCACCATCGGCGGACTTCGCTATGGGGTAGCTGCAACAAGCACAGCTAATCTTATTGTTTCTCCTCAAAGGTTCGCCCTTATAATCTGCTTTTGTTTTTATGTGATACGTTTTTACTGTAAAAACTTCTCAGGCTATTGAGAAAACTTCAGAGCTTATTTTCAGGGTCAAGCATGTTTGTGATATATTTGGAATTTTAATATTGTGTAACGGGTCCATACAGCATGTTTCATTATTATGCGCCAATCCCTTATTTCAATAGAGACATTGCTTAGTACACAACTTAATTTTGCACTACATACTATCAGATTCGCTATACAAGAGAACGATGATACCCATACTTGCAGAAAGAAAACCTTTTGAGTTTGGTGTCAAAATGAATCTGGAGCGTATCACTTCATACATCGCCTCCAGTGAAAGACCTAAAAAAAGCTCAAATTCGGACTTTGCATGATACTAGGCTCAGCAATCGGCAAAGGCAAATTGTTTTGATCTTGTTTTTCTGTTTTCAGCCCTTCGAAGGGGCTTGGGCGCGACGCGGCCACGTCGAAAGGCCCCGTCTGCCTCTCCCCCCTCCTATTAGGCGTGTGCATAAATTTCCGCCGCCGAATTCCAAGGGCCGTTGCGCGAACCATGTTAGAGGTTTACCGGTGAAACCTGTCATGTTCTGTAAGATAGGGTAATGGCTACCTACTTAAGGGCAGACAGATCAGTTTTTCCCCAAAATCCCGTTGCTCTAAGGCTGATTGGTCATGGAACCTGATGAACCGTTTTCCCGTGGGGCCCTTCTCCTGCTGTTTGATTTCAAGAAAATTGGCATTGAAGCCCTCCGGATGCTTCTAGATACTTATGGAGGATAGGCTCCATCCGAACGAACCTGCTGAGATAGTTTCTCTTCACTCGAGAGCGTGCAACGAAAGCGGAATGTTTATTGCCAAAAAGTAATGCTGTGCGTGCATTTGGTGGTGGGATCAAAAGGGTGTTTTGAACTATG